TAATGTTGATTGTGGGCTATGAAAAGGCCCAATGTCGTAAAGGGCCGAAACTGACCTGGAAGGTATGATAGTGATAAATTAGTTGTCAGATGGTGCTAGGTTAGTAGTTGCTAGATTAGTTTTGTGATGGTGCTAGGTTAGTTGTATGATTGTGCTAAGTTTTTTTTTTTTTTCAAACAACGCCCCGAAGGGGGCGGGGGATTGGGCTGGATCTCCAACCTGTACATAGATTAAGACCCCAAAACGGGTCCAAAAAATCAAACAGCTACAGTGAAAATAAACAATATATATTTTAAAAACAAGTAATAGTGATAAATGTTTATGTGGATAGAGAGAGAACGCAATACGGAGGGAGAGCGCACAGATACTGCTAAACCGTAAGAATGGACGGCCACATATGAAAGTTGCATCAACATATCAACCACTTATCTAAAGCAAATTTATAATGGCTGACATCAAATAGCCATAGAGTCCTCTCAAGAATTAAAATATAATATTTGCACGGCACTTGTAGGGCGCGGATCTAATTATCACGCACCCATCGCATTCAAACTGCATATATTAACTAATCCGCATTACCACTAAACTAATCACGCATTATTAATCGGGGAAATTTTCTATATTAATATATCAGCTGTACACGTTTCCATTAAACTCGTCGATCGTGCCCTTGAAATTTGCAGAAAAAATAAAAATGCAAACCATTAAAAAAAAAAAGAAAAGAAAACAGAATAGAATAAAAATAAAATTAACTAATTCGAACTTAAAAGCTTATATAGACTTATAAAGTAAAGAAATTAAAAATATATCGATTAAAATTTTATGCTCTCTAAAATCAATCGTATTAATTATTTCTCAATCTTTATCTCCAATATTAAGATATTATTCATTTCGAAGATGAATTAATATGATATTAATCTTTTAAATACAATATTGTTTAAAATTAAATTGAAATGTTGTAAATCCAATAAAAATAGATAGTCAAATATTCCAATTCTAAAGATATATATAAAGTTAAAAAAAAAAAGGGTGACACCCAAATTTAAAATTATATTAGGGTGTTTAACTATTATGATTAAAAATATTTAGTTAGCCAATTTAATTAAAACACAAATTATTTTAGCTAAAAAAAGAACAAAAAATTTAATATATTTTATATATACTTTTTAACTCAACACACGCATAATACACAAATATTATACGGACATTGTACTAGTTATAATAAATACATCTCAAGAATCTAGATCATTCCTAGTGTACCCTACCAACATGGAGGGATAATTACTATATATATCACTACCATAGTCAGACATGCACTCAAGTCATCAGGGAGGGGATAAACACGAATTTAGAAATAGTAATAAAAAAAAAAAA